TGAGGATAATAAGTCACCTGGGGAAACTAGTTCCCTTACTGCCCCCTGTCTTGTCCTTGTCCTTGCAAGAATGCTATGTCCTTCTTACTAGCCCACCATAGTCACCATTACTGTTCTGGAAACATTCACTGCCCTTCACCCATTGTCCTTGACATAGATGTAAGCAATAAATAACAAGGTTCTGGCTGCCTCATGGCCTTTTGTTCCCCACAAACAACTGGTCATCCCAGATCCCTGCTGCACTGCTATTTTGTCTCTTGCTCTTTTCTTCCCACCATGCAACATAACACCTGGCAGGAGACTGGAGCCTACTGCAAGGGTCTCTGATACACTCCCATGATCCAGTCACCCTCCAAAAGCCCAGCCTTTGAAGCTATGAGACTTTGGGGGAACATTTGAGATCTAAACTGTAACACTGTATTTTGGCTTTTAATGCAGTCCCCTTGGGTGCCCCAGTGGCCCAAGGATCCATCCCAGAGATGGCTGATGTCCCAGGCAGTCATACCTTATACCTGGAAAAATCTTCCAAAGAAGGAAACTCCCTTGGTTCTTATCAGAAGTTCAGAACTTTTAATCAGATCTCTTAGTGAGCTGTTTCACAACAGACAGGCATAGAAAGCTTTTACTTGGCTAGAAAACTGTGTTGACTACAGAATAAGGCCTCCAAGAACCAGAGATAAAAATAGATTGCCGGCCTTGTCTGCTGAATAGCACAGAGGGCCAGAGGAATGAAGAGGGGCTATGAACTCCTTTCTTCATTTTGAGAAAGAAGCATTTTAGTTGTTGGTGTCTTGATAATCATAGAGTGTAAGGCTGAAAGGTCTTCCAGGACAATGATTTCAAACTGTGCACAAAACCTTAGGATTCAGGGAGGTCCTCAGGGGGCCATCATGAAAGCAAGTAAAGGATCAAAGTTACAGGTCACCCCCCACCCTAACTTCAGCTAAAGCGCCTCTGCTTACATCTGTGTATTAGGGGCTTTTGGAAGGGTTTCATGGATAACAAAAGGTTTGGAAGGCCAGGAGCTAGGCCAGCAATTTATTCCACAAGGAAAACAAACAAAACACAAAGACAAGGTTCAGAATGGCTGAGTGACCTCTATTATTTATTATTTAATTAATCTATAACTAACCAATTGATAAATTATAATATCTAATAACAATTACTATATTATATATTGCTGACATCAGTTTACTCAATAGATTAATCTATTGATAATAAAGCTATTTATTTATAGGTAAATATATATCATATATTCAGATAATATAATTGTATATTAATACATAAGTTGATAGGTTATTCCATTCATGATAAATCTTATTTTTTAATGTTATTTAATTCCCTTGAATTGAGCATTTTATTTCAATAATCACATTTCACTTCTAAAAGTTACCAAGTATTTGAGATCATTCCTAATAATACCTCTCTGTATGTCCATTATTTGTTTAAAAACATGTCTTATATTGTGATTTTTTGGTTTGTATTTGGAAATTTCAAGCTGTAAAGTCTACGGTTTTTCCTACAGACTTTCATTTCTCCTGGTGTTTTGTGGTCGTGGATTTGAATTTGTGCTGATTTGAGAGCCTACTTTAGGACACTGCCCTCAAAGAGGACTTATAGTTGCTTGCACCTGAGCTCAGGAGCCTCACTCACCTATCCCAGAAGTTCCCAGCAATAGTCCTCTTTCAGACTGGACAAGTGTCTCAGATTCAGCTGTCTCGACTTACCCTGTCCCCAGGCTTGATCTCTTACTTGGTTGTCGGTATGGCATTCATCTTTTAGGTAACTCTTCCTTTTGTATTTGCTAAGTACTCCCCATTTCCACCTCTTGTTTCAGCTCATGTTTTTGTTTTAGTTTGGTAGGTGTGGGGGAAGGAGGTAGCCAAAGGTGTCCTTATATTTTGCAATTTTCCCAATGCATTTAAAAACATCTTTTATCCAGGATCTCCTTGTCATTGTATAGGTCAGCCCTTACAAGCAGGCAGTCGACTATCTGTAATACTATAGGGGGACTTCCCTCAGCTTTGGTTTACAGATTTCCTGCAGTGCTACTTTCAGTCCTGATGTTCTCTGGCTTAAAGTCCTGTCATCTTATTTTTTGAGAATCTGGCAGGTGTGAAGCCTAAAGAAAGAGATGAGAGTTAATTTTTTGGGAGTTTTGTGTATATTCTGGATATTAGGCCCCTATATGAAGAGTAGCTAGCAAAAATTTTATCCCATTCTGTAGGTTATCTCTTCACTCTGTTGATTGTTTCTCATCTAGATCTTTGATCCATTTTGATTTTACTTTATCACAATCTTCTGCAAGTGGATATCCAGTTTTCCTGGCATCATTTGTTTAAAAGGTTGCCTTTTCTTCATTATGTTTTTGACACCTTTGTCAAAAATCAGATGGCTGTGGATGTATGAAGTTGTTTCTGTTTTGTTCCATTCTGTTGGCCTAAATGTCTGTTTTTGTGCTAATATCATGCTGTTTTTGTTACTATGGCTTTGTAACATAATAGTGTTGTGATGCCCCCAGCTTTGTTCTGTTTGCTGAGGATGCTGTGGTGGATTAACAACTGGTGGTCGACTTGTAACACCCAGCTGAACTGAATCAGTGTGGTGCTGGGTGTAGAAAGCCTACCTGAAGGTTGTTGCCAGCAACATTAAAAGGAGAACTGGAGAGGAAGACGGATGCTGTTGATTCTCCTGGAGAAGCTTGTTGTGCTGGCTTTCCTGATATGAACTTGGCCATTCTCATCATTGGAGGAGCTCAGCTCCTCACTGTTGCTGAGGATACCTGCGGTTCTTTTGCCGGGAGCTGTAGTCCTTACTCTGAGTGTCACTTCCTGGCTTCAGTGCAGATCCCTCAGCCTGCTGGTATAGATACTTCATGCCACTGATGCAGACTTTCTAGCTTCTACCACTGACCTTTGGGCCTTCATAGTGCAGATCATTGGTACAGACTTGGGTGAGACACTGTCATGGGCTTTAGGCCTCCAGTTGAATGGGTTGGGGGGCATTGCCATGGGCTCTAGGTTTTCAGCTGGACTCATGCAGGACATTACCATGGGATCCAGGCCTGCAGCTAGATTCTTTGGATCTCTAGTGTGTGGACTGATGTCCTGCACTCTTCTGCATTTGACTCTTTTGGGTGAATATTATAAAATAATTCTATAGATTATGTGTCCTGTATTAAATTGCTTCCATTGCAAACCCTGACTACAACAATTGCTTTTGTTCTTTTTGGCCTTTTCTGGTTCCATATGAATTTTAGGATTTTTTTTTCTAGTTCTATGAAGAACATTATTGGAATTTTGATGGGGGATTGCATTGAAGTGTTCCATAGATCACTTTTGGTAATATGGCCATTTTAGTAACATTAATTCCAACAACCCAAGAACATGGGATGTCTCTCCATCATTTTCTAGCATCCTCTTCAGTTTCTTGAAAGAGAGAGAGAGAGAGATTGAGAGAGAGAGAGAGAGAGAGAGAGAGAGAGAGAGAGAGAGAGAGAGAGAGAGTGAGCTTTGGGTTCCCAGAGAACATTTCTATATTTTCTCTTGGTAAAGAAGGCCATGGTATAGCTCTTTCTGACCCTTTCCATCTCTGTCCATCTTTCTTTATCCCCTCATGCAATGATGAACATCTTAGTAGTGTTCCAATTCCTTATTTTTGAATAGTGCTTTATAGATTGTCAAGTGCTTGGGCCAATACTGACTTGCCTGTGTTCTCAGTAGCCCCCTGAGAAGAGCATCCAGAGCATCAGTGTCCCCAGTTTGACAGAGAACACTGGAATCCAGGAGGTCTCCTGACTTGCCTATGCACCAACAGTTCATCAAAACTGCCATGCCTGCCTCTTGACCCCAAACCCATTGCTTTCCTGAACTAAACCTACATTCCATGAGAAAGTAAAACACACTCAATGATTCATTCATTCATGCATTCATCTGATACTGATTTGATCATCAGTTATATCCTAGCTGCCATTCCAGGCGTAAGGATATTACTGACAATAAACCCTTGTCCTTGTGACCCTTACAGTCTAGCTGATGGCAAATAATAAATAAATAATGATATAAATGCCAACGTGATTTTTGCTGTGATGACAAGTAATATGGGGAAAGATAAAATGAGGAAATAGGGCAGCATGGAGCAGGATGAGTAAAATGAAGACTTCATGAATGAAATCATGGGAACATGTAGGAGAGAAACATCGCCAGTAGAAGGGACAGGAGGTACCAAAGCCCAAGGCAGGAAAGAATTTGGCTGTTCTAAGAACAATGAAGGGTTCTGTGGTCACAGTAGTCTGAGCAAATGGAGGTGTGGAGTAAGATGAAATAGAAGGAGTGGCTGGGGAACATGGTAAGGAAGATCTCAGGAACAAGTCTGAGGTAGGAAGGGTGATCAGAAGGTGATCAAAATATACAGTGTGTATTTAAAATTACAGTAAAAGACACGTTGCCATTAATCCCACTCAAAATACTCTCTCTCTCACCTCAAACATACTTGTCCCATCATTCTTGTCACTTTCTGAAGCAGTTCTGGAAGTCCTCTTTCATGAGTGTCTTTACAAGGTGTGGTTCAAGCATACAGTGAATGCGGCTGCCAAATGCTATCCACCAGAAAGGCAGGCTCATAAAATCATTGTGATGTGTCCTCATCTACCTTATTCATTGGATCTGGCTATGTGCAACTTCTGGCTCATCCCCCAAAGTCAAAATCACCATGAAAGATTAGTTTTGAACTAATTCAGGGCATCAAGGCAGCCACAACAGAGCAACTGAAGACATGAGAGAGGACTTCCAGAAATGCTTCAGGAAGTGGCAAGAATGATGGGATAAGTATATTTGAAGCAAGGGGAAGTGTTGTAAGGGAGATTAGTGACAATGTGTCTTAAATTTTTTTATAAATTTAAGTACTCACCATATTTTTGATCATACCTCACCTAAAAATCTGTGTGCCAGTGGTCGGTGGGTTTTAACACCTCTCCCTCTATTTGCTTGTCAATTTCCCAGGCCTACAGGTTTTCCCAGCTTCCTGAAATGGTCATGGGCTCTCCACCTCCACCTGTACCACCCCGACCTGGGCCGGTGGCTGTTGCTTCTCTCAGACGGTAACATATTCCTTTCTCTGCTTTGTTTGGAACACTTGAAAAAGATTTGTCCCTGCACTACTTGGTCCTGAGGACAGTAGTACCAGCAACTTTCCTTCATGTCCTCCCCCACTCAAGGTCCATCACCTGTACAGGCAGCCATGCACCTGGGCACCTGAGTACCAGGAAGGCAGTTGGGACCACAGAGTCCACTGACTCTCTACCCTTTCCGAGTAGAAAGTCCTTGAGAATCCGGTCACCAAAGCCAAGGCCACCTGCCCCATGCCTGGAAAGCCTCATCCCCTGACCTTGAACATCTAGAAACCTGCCATCTCAGGTCACCACAACGGCTCCTACAAGTCTGGGTGCCTCCTGCCATATTTGCACCCCAAGAAAATCCCTTTGTTATTTAAGGCTGGGGTCTAACAGGCCAGGAAGAAGCATGTGTGGGCACTCACCCCAAATCTTAACCTCTAAGAGGGACAGGCTGACCTCAGATACCTCTATATAAGGCATGTGTCACATAGTCTCTGCTCTTTAGTGATACAGCAAACTCATGTTTTTGATAAAGATGGACAAAGAATACAAAAGCCATGGGCGCTGAGAAAGGTTGGGATAAGCCTGGTGTCCATGGTTGGGGAGAAACGACTGTGCTTTGGGGTACACATGGGCCACCACCCTGGCCATCCCTCCTCAGCTGACCCAAAATATACTAGTCACACCACATCTGTGGACCATGGGTCTGGATTTTGTGAAACAATGAAGAAAAATTCAAGTTTCCCTGGTGGTTTAGAATGTGCAGCTGCATAGACAGCACCTGCTGGTCAAGGAGGTGACGCAGTGCCAGTCCTTAACCAGTCCTGCCAGTCCTGCCAGGGATCTGCTGTGTACCCCCAGGCGCACAGATCTGCTGTGTAACCTCTCTGGGCCCTGATTTGATTCTGTCTGTAAAGTGAGAGCAGTGGCCTAATGATTTCAGGAGCTCTGGGATTCTGCAGATGGGGGTCTCAGAAAAGTGCGTGGAGCAGAACCCAGGGATTCTCCTGGGAAGGGGCTTCGGAGCACTAGAAAGGCCTGGGGCAGCGGGTGGGAAGCAAGCAGGCAGGGGAGAGGAGAGGGAAGGAAGCCCCACAAGGAACCACCAGCACCCATCCTGCTAGAGAGTCAAATCTTCACAGCCTCTGATCTTGGGAAGGCGGGGGCTTCTCAGTTACTCCCGGGAGTTCTGGCTTGGGGGGCCTCACACCGGCCATTTGTGGTGAGTTTGCAGATGCCAGAATTTATTTCTTAATTCATCTCCCCACCACCAGACCCCTCCCTTGCCCTCCTGCACCATCTGCCGTCCTTGCCAAGCATCCAGGAGTCACTTTTCCTTCAGACAAACCTATAGAATTAGACGAGGAAGGAACTTTCAACGTGAACCTGTCCACCCTTTTAGGTCCTAGATGGGAGGGAAGTAAGGAAATCAGACCTCTGCCTCCTGTCCTCTCGCTTGTGTGGTTCTCTTCTGCTCTTCCTGTGACAGTCACTGCTCTGTGTCAGAGTGGCCCTGCGGGCTGGCAGCCTTCCATCTGCTGTGGCTGCCTTTCCCTCCCTCTCCTTCTTATTGTAGGGGAGCCAGAGGTCCCCCTGCCTCAGGGGAAGGGTGACACCTACAAAAAGAGGTGTCTGGACTGTGGCGAAGGCAGCGTTTCCTTGTAGGGGGTTGTCTGTGCCTGCCAAGTGGGCCGCCCTCCTCTCACACTGCTTCTGAGTACTGAGTGGAAAGATGCTGTGATCCAGGGCCTGATTCTCCGGTTGCCTGCGGGACCAAGAGAGGATGGCAGTTCTCTCTCGTTCACGATGCTCCCAGAGTGCTGGTCCCCAGCTCCCGGCCCCAGCCTGGCTTCGCAGAATCTTGGGCGTCTTGCTTCCTGCTAGTAGTAGCAGCAGCTAACGTGCCCCACCCCACCCCCACACTCCAGACAGAGCCTTCTCATTGGCTGCAGATGATGTCATCACCTGCTGAGTCCACTGACCGTCCCAGCCAACACCCAGGGCTAATTGCTTTGCTTCTTTTAAACAAAAATTGAATTTCTATTACCTGGAGCCACTCTGAGGAGACAAGTGACCTTGGTCACCTAGGAATGGCTCCGGTGTAAGCCACGGCAAGTCTGGGCACTTCTTGCCCTGCTGGTGCCCCCAGAAGTCCCTTCGTTATTTGAAGGTGGATCCAGTCCTGAAGATACCACACTTGTGAGGCTTACGGGCGACAGCCCACTCCCAAATGGTGGCCTGGGGCCCACGCTAACGCAGCCCCTCTGCTCTGCCCAGGTCCACCTCAGACATCGGCAGCAAGACCCGAATGGCCGAGTCTGTGGGTCCCGAGCCGGCCCAGCTGCATGAGAGTGCCTCGTTCGCCCAGGTGTCCAGAGGCCCCGTCTCCGTGGCACAGCTGGATCAGTCGGCTTTAAATTACTCAGGTGAGGAAGAGCACAGCCCAAAGGCCGCCCAAGCCTTGCCGCTGAGCCTTCTTTCCTCCGGACCCCTACATCCCCACCACCTGCCACCCGCCACCCTCGGGAATCAAAGCCACTGCATTTCTGGGTCCCCTTGTGACCACCAGCCCTCACAAGAAGAGCTTCTGGTCCTGTTTCTTAGGAAGATCCAAAATCAGGCCACATGCCAAAGTCAAGGAATATGTTAACATTTTACCGTTTGTTTTGTGGGGCTTGTTTGTTTTACCTTTAAAGCATGACTCAGACAGCTCTCCATCCTGTATCATTCCCTTTCTCCCCAGAGCAATCAGAGGCCTCAAGCTGTGGATTTTAATCTTTTGCCACATAACATGTCCATATTACAGTGTGTATTCAAGTCTTGCACATCTTAAATTTATGTCAGTGATACCCTGTGCATTTCCTCTTGCCCTTGTTTTCTTGATTTTACATCGCTTGCAGGATTTCTGCACGTTGGTACATACATTCTGATTAGCATTGTCCATTTAATCCACCACGGGGTGTCCCATGCATACGGCCTAGGCCATCCTTGTCCCTCCTGATGGACCTAAAAGTTGTTGCCAGTTTTTTGCTGGGACAATGTCCAAATGGAACATCCATGTTTGTGGATGACCTCAGTGGTTTTCCAGTCTATTCAGACCATACCTTTCAGACTAAACCTGCAAGTGCCCCGTTCCCAGCACTTACTAAAGCATGCCTGGTGTCCAAAAATTTCACAGGCGACATCCACTCCGTTCGGTTCTTTTAAAAAAACAATGCGTCCCCAGGTAAAAAAGTACCTGGACTCCAAGGTGTCATTTCCTCTTGTAAGCAGGGCAGGGGTATTGGGACAGGCACGAGGGAGTTGGTGAGGTCTCAGTAGGGGAGCTGCGCTGCCTTCATCTAGAAAGCTGATCTGAGTCACAGCAGACGGCACCCTCCCCTACTGACTGAATGGGCTACAGTGGCTGGGGCCTTGGAAGAGGACTCTTCTCCTGCCTTTTTCATCCAATCTCCTAGCCATGCCCAAGGCCACAGCCCTCCCTGGATGCCCTAGCTCCCCTAAACTTGGGCAGGTGCAGGCCCAGTGGGCGGGGCACCAGCTGGGGGTGAGAAGAAAGGAAAAGTCTGCAGCACTCCCAGCCCATGCTGTATGCCGTGAAAATGGAGAGAGGCTTCCCCTCCCCTGGGTCAGTGTACACCCCACCCTGGCAAAGGGCGCAGGCTGGATTTTAGCCCCACCTGGCCCCTAGGCTAGTGCACCACTGCTCCACCGGGCACAGTGGCCTTAGACCAGTTCTACCAAGAAGGAAGGCTGGTCCCTCCACCTCCGCCTGTTCTCTTCCTTGCTGCTGCATTAACTGGAGTCCCAGCCAGAGGTCACTCGGCCTTAGGTGGGACTGCCGTTCCTCAGGGTCACAGCCCACAGCAAGATCCACTCCATCAGATCTGACCTCACAAACCTTCCCGCCCCGCAGACCACCAGGCAGTCTGTAAAAACTGGCTTCGTCTGGCTCGTAGGGGGTGGATCCCAGCCTCTTCTGACCTCCCCACCCGTCTCCTCCATGCCAGGTAACACGGTGCCAGCAGTGTTCGCCATCCCAGCTGCCAACAGACCCGGCTTCACTGGCTACTTCATCCCCACGCCTCCCTCGTCCTACAGGAACCAGGCCTGGATGTCCTACGCGGGGGAGAACGAGCTCCCTAGCCAGTGGGCTGATTCGGTGAGACCCCTGCTGTCCCTCGTAGAGCTTCGCCTGTCTGATACACGTCCAGGTCAAAATGGGGTGAAAGAGTGAGACTGGGTGTTACTCATCTCAGCCCCGCTCCCAGATGGCTAAAGTCAGCCGTGGTAAAGGAGGCAGTGTGGTAAGGCAGGGTTTCCTTTGACAGAAGAACTTGAAACCTGTTTTCTGACAGATTCGACTTCTTCCTAGCAGAGCAACTTTAATAAATAAATTTTTATAATAACTATCACCTGTTGAGCATTTGCAGTGTGCCAGATGGCCTGTTAGGTGTTTTATAGGTATCATTTTATTTAATCTTCCCAACAGTCCTGTCAGACAGGTGCTCTTAGTTTCACGATTACTCCCATTTTGCAGATGAGGAAATTGAGACCTACACAGGAGATGCGACTTGTCTGAGGCCACACAGCTAGTAAGGTGCCAAAGCCACACTTGAAACCTTAACTTGTTCATTGAATTTGTTTCTTCTAGCTGTCAATTTCTATAAAATTTGAGATCAGAGGTCAGCAAATGAAGCATTAGACTGAAAATATCTCACAAATGGATCCTAATACTTCCTGCCTGACTTCTAGCCGAGGATTAGCTTACCCTGGGCCTTCGTTTTCTTCCTTCATGACCAGTAGGAGGAGATGGCAGGGTCTGAGCCTGCCTGAGTATCCGTGCTAGCCTCTGGAGCCAACTGTCATGGTTGCTGAGTTTAATCAAATCAAGCCAGACCAACATCGGCCTTCAGAGTGGGTCAGCTTGTCCCTGGGTGAGATCACTCATTACTGGTGAGAAAGGCGAGCTGTCCCCAGGCCAAGCCTGAGCTTCCCCTGGTGTTCCCGGTTATTTTATGTGTCTGTCTCAGCATTTGGAATGCTAGAGTTAGGACACATCTTGACTCCAGGGTCTACCTCTCCGTCAGCATGTGAGCCAAGTGCCTGAGTTGTTTTTTCTAAACTAAAACCTCAGTACTCAGGTTTAATTGCAGTGTTGGCTTTGCAATAAATAAGTGGGTTTGGGGGTTAAGGTTTGGGCACGCAGTCTGTAAAAGGCTTGCCATCACTGGCAGGGCGTCTTCTCTGTCCATGTTGTCTACCTGATTGCTTCCGCCCCGCACTGGCGTCTGCTCTCCCTGCAGCGGTGCCGCCTTTAAACCCCCACTAATCCTGCAGGTTAACTTTCCTGCAGAGATTAACTTCCTGTTGGCCAGAATTTACACCTTTGCTTTCCAAAACATTTAAAATATGTGCTATCTGGTATGAAAATACTTGCAAAATGAATACTGTCCTCCCTGCTCCGTTTCAAAAGATCATACAGTTTAGTTTGTCCTATATGAATAAGCATCACTGTGATGTCTCATTATACTAAAATGACATTTGTAGGATGAGCTCTGCCAGCTCAGAGCACTTGGGAGGCTGAGGCAGGAAGATCGCCGCAAGTTCAAGGCCAGCCTGAGCTACATAGCCTGACCTTGCCTCAAAAAAAGCCGCAGGAAGGAAGGAAAGAAGGAAGGAAGGAAAGAAGGAAGGAAGGAAGGAAGGAAGGAAGGAAGGAAGGAAGGAAGGAAGGAAGGAAGGAAGGAAGGAAGGAAGGAAGGAAGGAAGGAAGGAAGAAAGGAAGGAAGGGAAAGAAAGGAAGGAAGGAAGGGAAAGAAAGGAAGGAAGGGAAGGAAAGAAAGAGAGGAAGGAGTTTGCATTTTTGTGGGATTATTGCCCCGTGTCAGTTATTTCCAAACTATTGTAATTTTCAGTTATTACCACAGCTCAATACACATTTTCTTTGCCTGCTCTTGCTTCCAGCTGGCACTTTATATTTCTGTCAGTGTCTCCACTTCCAGTAATAAATATGTCCTTAAATGTGCTTTTCCTAATGAGTTTTTATCTGCAAATAAAGCGTGACTAAGCTTGTGAGAATTGTTCATAAAGTTAGAGCAAGTAAAGGGGAACTGGCAGGATTGCCTGTGCCTTGGAAGTCTGCATCTTTATGGGACGTTATGTCATCTGTTTTCTTTGTTAGAGGCCTTATTTCCTTTTCCCTCCCTTGCTCCCTCCCACCTCCCCTTCCTTCCTTCCTTTCTTCCTTGCCTGCCTGCTTGCTGTTTTTGTCATTCTCTGCTTTTCTGAGCAATTCAGATCTTTGGATATGGTTTGATCAGTTCAGAGCTCAAGCCTATAAAAGACTTAAAGTCTAAAATTATATATATTATTTGTCAAAAGAGATGATACTTAAGTTGCCCTAACCATGCAGTAGTCTATAGCTTTGACAGCTCACCCATCTGGTACCCAGGCATGCAGCAAGCCAGGCAGGACAGGTGATTTATAGCACGTGAGAGACAGGGCAGGATGCACAGAGGGGTAGGCTGCTGGCTGGAAAAGACACCCCAGTAGGGCAGGGATGATGCACACCCCTCATATGGATGTGAGAAGGACAAGGCCCCCACCTGCATTTGAATGTCTGACCTCCTTGATCCCAAAAGATAGCCTGCATGAAATCCCCTTGACCTGGGATGAGGCTTCATCCTTGATCCTAGAGGGAGCAGACTTGGGAGGGAGCTTCCTGGATCGACAGGAAACTGCTGGGACCAGTTGGTGATGTCTGCCACGGATGCTGGCCATGAAATTCAGTCCAGAAAATATGATAGCTCCGTCCAGTATCTACTTCAGAGGGGAAAGAGCTTGTCATTGTCCCCTCTTCCCTGCTGTTGCCCGACTTCTTAAGGTCACCTTAAAGTCGGTGGCACTCCTTTCTTCAGTATCATTGTGTGTAAAATAAGGATAGTGATACCGCCTAGGTTGTTGCTTAGAGAATTAAATGAGATAATGTGTTGAATAGCACATAGACCTTAATGTGTGTTAGCTATTATTATTCATAAGAAACCCAGCTGGGAATAATGGCACACTTCTATAGTCCTGGCACTCTGGGAGGCTGAGGCAGGAGGATCCTAAGTTCTAGCCCAGCCCATGTAACTTATTCACTTAGGGAGACCTTGTTTCAAAATATAAAACCAAAAAAGGCCTGGGGATGGAGCTTAGTGTGAAGGCTGTGGGTTTCATCCTCAATTCTGTAAGACAAAAGAGAAAGGAAGAAGTAGGGAGAGGGAAGAAGGGAGGAAGCAAAGGAGGGAAAGAAGAAGGGAGAGAGGGAAGGAGGGGAAAGGAAAGGAAAGGAGAAGAAGGGAGGGGAGGAGGGAGGAGGGGAGGGGAGAGGAGGGGAGAGGAGGGGAGAGGAGAGAGAACTCCCCTGCGCTCCTTGGCTACAGTTCTATCTGCTAGAATGTGTGTAAGTTAAGGAAGCCAAGCAGGTTCAGATGGAGACTCGGATGTATTCCTAACGCTTGCAGCCAGCTTTAAGTGTCTATTTAACTCATCCAACCTGCGCATTCAGTGAGTCTCCTTACCTGTTCCTAAGCAGACTGACTCCAGACTGTGTATCTGAACAACAGTATGTGGCTTGCATCTTCTTCTAAGGCCCTTTCCTTGTCCTTAGGCCCCTGTTGAACGTGTTGTGGTGTCGAGCTCCCCGCTAATCCCGGGCCCTCCCCGTCTGTCTCTCCTGCCGTCCTGTGCAGGTGCCCCTGCCCGGGTACATCGAGGCCTACCCGCGCTCGCGGTATCAGCAGAGCTCGCCCTCCAGGCTCCCGCGCCAGTACAGCCAGCCCGCCAACCTGCACCCCAGCCTGGAGCAGGCCCCCGTGCCCTCAGCGGCAGTGTCACAACAGAGCCTGGCTGAAAACGACCCGTCCGACGCGCCCCTGACCAACATCTCCACTGCAGCCCTCGTGAAAGCCATCCGGGAGGAGGTGGCCAAGCTGGCCAAGAAGCAGACAGACATGTTTGAGTTCCAGGTCTAACGCATAGCCCCGGGACTCTGCGCCTCCAGACTCCGAGGAATCAGGCTTTGGGGTCCTCACCCCTTGTGAGTGAGGACGTGAGACACTGAATGGGTGAGTCTTCTTCACCCTCTGTTTCCCAAAAGGTGAACAGTGGGGCTTCTGGGGAGCAGAGGAAACTCATGAACCACTGGATTCCTGGCTCATGCACCTGACCGTGCTCACAGGTCCTGCCTGGGACGTGTGCTCCAGATTCTGCTATGTTGAATGTTTGAACCATGGGCGGTTTTTTTTTCCCCCCAAGGAGCCTTAGTCAAGAGAGGGACTCACTAATCTGCAGATTCCTGTCCAATGCCACCTTTGACAAAGTCACCAGAAAGCGGAGAACATGGCTCTATCTTTGGTGACCTCTGCATGTTAACTCTTTTCTGTGTTAAAAGCAATGCAGGGGTGTGAATTACGCCCCAGACTGCCCTCTCTCATTCAGCCGTGACCGTGATCGTTAAAATCATCTCTACTCTGTAAGGCAGACACTGACTCCAGCCAAGAAACTTGAGTCTCTTTGCTTTTAAAGGTTCATATTCAAAGTCAAATGAATTGGATGAAAATCAGTACCACTGGCTGCACCTATAAATAGTCCTCACCCCCTCCCCATGCCGTTCATTAAAGGCCAAGAAAGAGAGGTGGGCAGGAATCGTGGGTCTGTGTCGACAAGCTTTTTAAAGGGTATTGTCGCTCGGAAATAGAATACCCTGCAAGTTGGGATTGAAATGAAAGAGAATCGGTGCTAAGAGCTTTCAGGATCCTACAAAAGAAAGACAGGTATTTGAGGTATCTGTAGGGGTTTTTCTTTGCCTGCATGGAAGATGGCCTGAGAACAGAGCTTCTCCCTTAGGGATAAAAGATACACTGACTTTTATGAGAAAATCTCCGTCCCTTCAACACTGATCTCCAGCCTGTTCTGCCAAGGGGTACAAAAAAAAAAAAAAAATGGTCGCTGATTCCTGTTAGAAATGGGAGCAATGGATCTTGGTTATTCCAGGCTGCAGCCTTAGTTTATAGATGCTTCTGAATGTAGCAAATCTGTTGATTTGGGTTTAAGTGTAAATAACCTCTTTTTAAAATGTATGAGTTTTGCCAGTGCTCCATAGTTTATTTACGCAAGGGGACGTTTGTCAAAATGGCAAGGCTGATACCTTGTGGCCGTGACTCTCCAGATCACCCTTCTTGGCATGGAGAATTGGCCTGCCGAGCTCCGAGTGGAGGACACTGCCCCCCCAGGGCTGGGGCGCCAGCCACTGACTCCCATGGGCGCGAGCAAACCCGCTCCTGACTGTGGGCAGCACGTATGGTGTTGAGGGCTTCCTTGGTGTCTGTTGGGGAACGAGGTCCTGTCCTGCCTTCAGCCGTGACCCATCTAGCTTCAGCAGCTCCCATTCCCTTCCGAGCCCATCTGTCCATTGTCCTCATGAGTTTCTTTGGTCTTTACCCGAAAGAAGAAGGTGGAAGGGGCTGGGGATTTAGCTCAGCGGCACAGCGCCTGCCTGGCAAGCGCGAGTCGTGAGTTCCATTCCTGGGACCAGAAAAAAACAAAAAGCAAAAAAAAAAAAAGAAGAAGGTAGAATTTTAAAATGGTGAGAGAAGAGCAGGAATGGAACTGATCAGAATGGGAGATTCAAACTCTCAAAGCACAGACTTTTCCAAGCAGCTGTTTTTATTTCCCAGTGGCAAATTGCCCTTTCTGGAACGTGTCATGGAATCCTCAAACAAGTCTCTTGTTCGGATGATATTAGGTAGTGTCCTTTTAGTATGCCGGTTGATCTTTCATAGTGTTAGTTTTTGTTACTGACAAACAAATCAGCTATAAATAAAATGTATTTTTGTAATTTCCATGTGTATATATGGTATATTTCTACCAATGGCCAGTTGTTGTAGTCCAAAACCTAAATCAGCTTGCAGAACACTGTGGACAGTGCAAGAGTTTATTGACAGATTAACACAATGCCTAGGTCTATCCAAATCGGCATTCAATGCACTTGAATGAACAAAGAGCCAAAGAAACTCAGCCTTTTCATGCAAATGGTATGAGTCTGAAAAAGACAGCTACGTTGTCCTTCTTTATCAACAATACCAGTATCTTATCAGTGCAATGGTATCAACCCAGAACTTTGTCTACTTGGTAAATGCCTGGAAATACTGTATGTGCAAGTGAAGTTTTAAGACCTTAGTGTCCTTGAAAGTTATGTACATGTTTCAAAAGACAGTGTCTGAGCTTTGGATGTTCCGGTGATTACAGATGATGAATTTGCAGTTTGCCTTTGTATGGTTCCAGATTGCTAAGACAGTGGAGCTACAAATCATTGCAGTCTTCACAGAACCCCGTGAAATATTTAGTCCACTGAAAAAAGTAAGATACAGCATGCTAAATCAGACAGTCTCTTAAACTAGACACCACAGGTTCAACAAAAGTCAACGAGAGGAAATAATAGGTATCTGAAGGGAAACCTGTGCACATTTTCCCACCAAAGAGGAGAGAGCTGCGATTGTTCAATTTTCTGGGACTAAGTTGTGGTCCCTTCTCTGATGTCTCCTGACCTCATGGAGGTGACAGATACCAGGAGAAGTGACTCTGAGAAAAGGCAGATGGTAAAAGGTGCTTCACGGAAGTGCGCAGAGGGTCTCGTGAGAACCCCGAGGAGACGAGGGAATGAATGAATTCCCCCGAGGGAATGAATTCAGTGTTCATCGTGATCCTCCAGACAGTCTCACAAAAGCCATAAAGGATATTGGTGACCTGGGAGGAGCAAGCGGAAGTCCAGAGAAATGGAGTGACTGGCCCCAAAATCAAGCCCACCCCTGCTGATTCATGATCCAGTCTGCTCTCCATTTACCATGCTGCCTGCATGCTTGTTGGTGACACATTTCTGTAACTGAGCCCGAAAGTTTGCAAAACAGACAAAGTCCTGTCCGGGACTTCATAATGCTCTTGCCAAGGGAAAAAATAAAATAAAAACAGTGACTGAGTTAGGAACTTTGAATGCAGTGTACAGGGGACAATATCTTTGTGGCATAATAAACATTTTTTTGGCACTGGTTTCGATATGAGTTTTCTGCATTCATTAAAAGGAAATGTGGTCATCCAGGGAGGACCATCAAGGAAGGGGTGTCCTCAGATGCTGTTCGAGGCTATGGGGGTGACTTCCCCTTTCTCAGCATCCTAGATCCAGACAGGCAGGGGTGCACTGACAGCTTGTCACTGAAAGGTCGCAGGTGCCGTTCTTTGCACTGGAGGAGGAGGCAGGCAGTGCGGGGACATAACAGTCCATGATGTGGCCTGGTACCTAGGATCTGAGGCTTATGTAATAAAAAGATGGCTGGGGATATAACTCAGTGGCACAAGTGCTTGCTTGGTAAGCTCAAGGTCCTGAGTTCAATTCCCAGTACCAAAAAATAAATATTGATAAATTAGTAATAAAAAGATGGCACATGTTACCCATGGAATACAGAGTTGCCTCCCACAGGGCAGATTGTATAAGAATCAATTCTCCAGTCCTGGAAGAAGTTATATTGTGTGTTTCTTATTTTAAGAACCCTGCAAAAGGGCATATAATTTCTGAATAAGCTTCATGGAAGAAAGGAAGTTGTTAGATATGTGATTTAAAAACAAAAAACTTTCTGAGAGAGTATGTAGAATGGAAAGGGAGAGGAATTTAAATACCTAACAAAAAGAAATGCTTTGCTAACTTTAAGCAGAAATTAGAGAAATAAATTTTAAAAGGTAGGACTGGGGATTTAGCTCAGTGGTGCAGCGCCTGCCTGGCAAGCATAAGGTCCTGAGTTCAATTCCCAGTACCCACCCAACCAAAACATTTTAAATGTAAATATTGGTTACGTATAAATGAGTTTCTACATAGCATAGAAGTGCTCAAAATTTAGTGAATAAAATAACAGATACTATTTTTAAAGCTTGAGAACAGGATTTGAAGTTTAAATTGCTTCTACCACATACTAGAAAAAAAAATGTGGGCTTCCCTTACAAAATACAGCCAGAGACTCTTAGGGAATAATAAGAATTAAGCTTGGAGTAGTGACTGACTGGGGTCTATGTGTTAGGAGTTAAATTCTGCCCTTTTGTCCAACCTCAGTGGTATTCTAGACAAGACCTCCGAGAGGACTAGAAACCCTTCCACACTCACTCAAGTGCAGAAGTTGATTCAAAGAATACAGGGACATTTTATAGAAATAAAATGCAGCTCCCCAACAGGCAAGGGATGGGCGCGGCTGCCTCGTGCTTGTGCTCTGGCTCTCTCGCGCGTGCATTCTCTTTCGTCTCTGTTTCTTTCTGAATATCTGCTCAGATCTCTTGCTGCCCTTGACCAACAAGCTTTTTCATTAGTGCAAATGTAGCTGGCAAACCCACCCCAGAATCCACTCCACACAGTCTTTCCTCCTCAGCGCCCAGCACTCTCTGCCTAGCATCCTTGTGCTGCCATAGACAAATTGCTAAGAATCTGATTGGTCCAGCTCATCTGCCTCTGGACAGCCATTGGGTCAGGCGCCTATCCAATCAGATGTAACCAAGGAGGCAGAGTCGGGTCATACCAGCGTGGCTCCCTGGATTGACCTTTTCAGCAGGGACTTCTGTTGGGGGCTGGTACCCAGAAGAAGACGCGCAACTGGGTAGGACCTTCAAAAGGAACCTGCTGCAGACTGGATTTGACCAGTACTCCTAGGAGTCAATACCAGAGGGCAACACCTATGGATACTGCCACAGAGAGGAAAGGGCATCCCTCACTTGTGCATCAGGTGGGAATGCATGCACTTGAACCCTGGAAGATTGGCCAGAACTGCCCCGGCCACTTCACACCCCAACACCAATATTGAACGCTGCTGCTGGACCAAAGGAGGGATTTCTAACCGGGTCCCAGCTAGCAGCATGTCCTGCTCAGCAGACAATAAATACTTGTAAATTGAATTGCATGATCTTAGCTCAGGTGCTATTAATGTGGCTCATGGCCACACACTTGCATGGATGAGAAAACCAATGAGCCTCTCAACAGAGTCTTTTCAAACAAAATTGGTTTCAAGTGAAACTGACATTATGGTGGCTCTGACCTTCTGGATATAAGAAGTTAATATCTGAGAATTGAAAGGTCTCTTGATTTCTGAGGTGCACTGCTAACAATGCTAGCTGGTGGTAAAGCTAAAATGTAGGGAGTTTTAGAAAAGTAATATTTAGGAAATATAATTGTGTCAGAAACGAATTCTCTGAGAAGGCATTGAGCTGCTTTGATTCTGCAGGTTACACGAACAAGGAAAAGTTTTGATAAGGCAGGAATTTGTTTCCAAAGGTCAAACCCATACTTTATTGAGAGCCATTATATAATGAAATCTAGAAGGTGATTATTTTCATCCTCTGACCTTGGTCAGACTTTTGTAAATTATGGAGGGAGGCCATAAATGTATTCTACATAAATTAATTGTGACCTTGCCTCATCTCCTCCTTATGTCTAAACTCACCTTCACCCACATACAAATTGAATGGAGAAAAACATTATACCAAACAGAACCAGAGAAATATCAGTGAACTAGAAATTTTGAACAGGTGTAAATATTCTTGACCTTGAGCAACTCATTTAAAACTAGTCTCTAATTCCTCACCTGTCAAATGGGTCTAACAACATCTGTATGTCCTAGCTCCCCTAGTGGTTGGGAGGAGCATGTAGCATAATGTATCTGAAAATGGCTTGAAAAGTCGTTTTGAAGGAATTGTTACTAAATGATTACTTTCACAATTCAGTTTTATCCAGAAAAATGTTTTCGCTCCACCCACCCACTGGATTAAATTGTATCATCACGTGTTCCTGACACAACTTCTTGTCGAGGACAAATAAAGAAATCCCTAAGTTTGGAGTTGCCCACAAAAGCCAGCCCCACCTGGGAGTTGCTGTCATTGTCATTGTCATCTACGATTTGGAGGGTGTGTAAGTACTTGTACCTGTGCTTTCGCTCTGGGTGAAAAGCCCAGACCGGCGAGTCTTTCAAACCACATTAGACACATCGGGCAAAGTACTGAGCAGAAGCTTTGAATGTAGCTGTTGTTATTTTAATGTGTTGCTTTCTAATTAACTTTGTACATCCTTTGCCTCTGCCGGGAACAGAGTGTTCATGTGCTGTTAGAATTTTTTATTGTAAAATAAAATGACAAAGGCTTTCATATCACACAACCTGCCTGCTTCTCATTCCAACGCTTCCAGATGGTGGGATGCTGAGACAGAGTCGCAGTCCGGCCACACTGCAGCGCCTGCTGAGCCTCGCTTGAGAACGGTAGCAGGCCTGGTAGACCCAGTGTGGTCTCAGAAGCTGTCCTAGCTTGAAGTGTGAAGTTATGGGCCAGGAAAAAACCCAAAAATAAAAGCTCACCTTTGGCCATTCTCAGGCCTCAGAGAAGCAGTTGGGGCCCCAGACCAAAAAAAAACCAATGTCTATGCAGGTGTTCTCAGAGCATTAACAAGTCCCATTGCTACCAAGGGATCCAGACATTGCAATGGTCTGGGACACAGACTCCCAGACAGACCAGCCACTAAAGTGTGGCTCTGTATCCGAGCAAGACCAGTGAGGTTCTTTCTCTGGGAAATACCAAGAAACAGATTCAGTTAGCACTGTCAAAACTTGACAGTCAAGACCTGAGAAGCCAGCGTAGATTCATTCATGACAAAAAGAGAGAGCAGGATACTGAGTAAGAGAGTGATTTAGAATAGAGGTAAGAAAGCCTGTATCCTGTAACAAAAACAATCAGACCAAGTCTGAAATGAGGAGACCTTGGGCCTAAAGGTGAGTCACGGACCCTGGGGCCTTAGTGGATCCACTGAGACTCCGACAGCAACACGGCGCTGCTTCCCACTGGCCCCCAACTTGCTTTCTTTAAGAACTTGGAAAATACTTAGATACTGAAGGGATGCATTTTTACTCCTCTCTGCTGTGTGAAGAGGGCTCAAATATGCACAAAAGACACCTTCAACACCATTGCCTTGCTGAAATTATTGAGGAATAAACAAGGAGACCTCGAAACATTTTGGCAAGGTTTATCATGGGGTAGAGACCATTGCAGAGAATAAGATGAGTCAGTCCAGGCACTCAGGGCTTCCTCCTGCTCCTGTTTTCTTTTTCCTTCCTCCTGGACCCTGATGGCTCTTGGCTTGCAGGACAAATGAGGTGATCGAGTGGAGAGGTGTGATGGTGTGGGTTTCGCTCCCAGGAATGGATGGGAGGCAGACAGGCCTCGATGGCTGGGAGGGACACAGGCAAACCCAGATTTCCTGGCTGGCTCCCTCCCTACCAGAGACAGGCCCGCAAATTTATTCCAAAGCACGGTCTCTAGACTCCTCTGAACACACGTCTTGCATCTGACCCATGAGCTGTGTTGGCCACTGGAAACCAGAAAGGATGCGCCTGGGAAGCTTTGTGAAATCAGGGGTGAGGAGCAACCACTGTAAATGTACATGGACGGTTAGTAGGTGCTGCAGACAGCGTTTTTGTGTTCTTTCCCTCAAATTCATATAGGGAAACTTAATCCCTAATGCCGAGGGTATTTGGGGAGTGGACTCTTTGGGTGGTGATTAGATCATGAGGCCTCATGGATGAGATTCAAGTCTTTCTAGAAGAGACCCCAGAGATATCCCAGGCCCCTCCCTCATCTATGAGTCAGGATACAGGCCCTCAGCAGACATCAAATCTATTGGAGCCTTGGTCTTGGACGTCTCAAATCACAAGTTGAGAAATAAATCTCTGTTGTTTATAAGCTACCCAGTTTATGGTATTTTGTTATAACAGCCTGAACAGATCAAGAGAATAGAAATGATTGCTGTGAGTCTCCCTGTGACCTCTGCACCACCCAAATCCTCAGTCTTGAGGGCCAGAGGACTTTTGGGGACCCACAATACCCGATACCCCTTGAGGCTATATCATTATGATGACAGTTCAACTTAGTTACTTCTTCATTGCTGAGGCACAATACCCGTTTGTAGAGGTTTCAGTCCACAGCTGGCTCCAAGGCAGAGTGGCATGGCAGAGGGGCACTGCAGAGGAGAAACAGCTCAT